CATCAGATCGCTGTGGCCGCCGTAGTACTTGGTGGCCGAGTGCATAACGATATCCATGCCCAGCTCCAGCGGCCGCGACAGGACGGGCGTCGCGATCGTGTTGTCGCACGCCGCCAGGGCGCCGTGCCGATGGGCGATCTCGGCCACTCCCTCAAGATCAATGATCGTCATCAGCGGATTGCCAGGCGACTCGACCCACACCAGCCGCGTGTTGGGCTCGATCGCCTTCTCAAACGCCGCCAGGTCCGTGGCGTCGGCGAGCGTCACCGTCAGCCCCGCGCGGTCGGCGACCTTGTGCAACAGCCGATAGGCGCCGCCATAAAGATCGCTCGAAGCCAGGATATGATCCCCCGCCCGCAGCGAAGCAATGACGCAATGAATCGCCGCCATCCCCGTCGCAAACGCCAGCGCCCCGCCCTCAGGCCCGCAGCCCTCTAGCGACGCGGCTGTCACCTCAAGAGCATGCCGCGTGGGGTTCCCGCTACGCGAGTAGTTGTACTCCCGCCACTCCCCAGCGCCGGGCTGAGCAAACGTACTCGCCATATGGATCGGCGGCACCACGGCACCGGTGGCGGGGTCGGGTTCTTGGCCGATGTGGATAGCGCGCGTGCGGAAGTGCATCAGATGCTCAGCTTTCCTTTTGCGAACTTTAGGATCTTCATAACTCGGCGATGAAGTTCCTCGAATAGCGTTCTGTTGTCGCTAATAGTAATGGATAAGAGACCACCCTGCACGGTGTAGGAGTGCTCGATGTCCTTTAACTCTGGGGTCTCGTACGAGGCGTTGTGTGCCAATGCGTTTCGTACGAGTCGCCAAAGAGAGACCTGAGGACCAGTCCATACCTGCCCAGTCAGGCTTTCGCCGTAGACTCGGATGAGCTGCTTGTTGAGGTCACGTCCTCGCGCAGAAATGCTGGCATTCGGATCGATGCAATTTGCGATCTGTATGACGAAGTGTTCGTAGGTCGCAAACGTGAAAAGAAATGCAGCCGCCTGTGAGTACCACACGTACATCCCGAATGGGTGAGTATGAACCATCTGCGCAAACGTTGAGTCAAGCATCTCCTTTTCAATCAAAGGCTTCTTCGCACAATATTCCGCGGCGATGTCCAAGCACGCCTTTAAGAGCGACGTACGAGTGCTTGGAGATAGCTCCATATCAACTATTCGACTAGCCAATCCCTGAACAAACATCTCTGCATGGGTAAGAAGGCACTCGTCGTCCTCATGGTATTCCCATCGACCGGTCTCCCAGGACTTATGGATGAGCGTCGAAGGCACTTGCGCGAGGTACGCCGCAGATCGCCAGTTCAGACTGAGAGCGTCTGCCACTAGTTCTATTGCGGAATCAAACTGCGATGCCGCATAGATGTCCTCAAGGCGCTTTGTGGGAAGTATGTCAAGATATGCTGATCTATCTGGAACGACGTAGAACTCAATGTCGCCGTTGCCAGCCTTGTTTGGATCCATTGGTTACGGGCCATATTGGATAGGAGAGCTACTGCTTTAGCCAATCGTTTCCAACAAGTACTTTGGTCATTAATGCATTGAATATAAAGAACGAACGACCAGCGTCAGCGAGGTCGTTTTATCCCCCTCCCTTCCAGGGAGGG